GGGCGTGCCGACGCTACCGGCACCCAGTTTGCAGAGCACCGCGCTGCTGATATCGGCCGGCCGTCGGCGTAAAATCGTGGCGCAAGCGGTGAAGATCAAGGAAGGCCGTCGAGTGGTCGGGGTGGGCCCCAGACTGGCGATACCGGACTCGTACGCGGGTTACTTCGAGATCCTGAGCGAAGAAGGCCGAGCGGTGCGCGGCATCGAGTCGGTGAGCGAGTTATCGCGAAGATGTCCGGAGGAGGGTGCTCTAGTGCGCGAAACCGTGCGCGGCATCGCCTGTCGGGTGGACGACGAGTCAGGTATCGTGGTACCGGAGGGTACGAGGACCCTCGCGGCCGGCGAGACGATCGTTACCGCCGGTGAAGTGGCGTTACCCGGTCGCGGCCGGTTTCTGCGCTGCGTGGACTGTCACGGTGACAGCGTTTTGCTTGGGATGGATCAACGTGGACGTTTCAGCGCTCTGGCACGCGAGGACAACATCAGCGGTGTGCACACCGCCAAGGCGCTCCTCAGCAAACGTCTGCCACTCACCGTGAGACTGGTACATGGTCAACCGCCGCGAGGACTCAAGTCGTCGTCACAATTTGTGCCCGAGTTGAGGCTGCTGTCGACTTTCGAGGAGGAGCACGTATTCGCGTTGCCGTTGCAGAGGGAAGGTGCGGCGGTTGCACTACCGCTCGCGGCGCCGCTTAAGCTGGTGAAGGCGCGAAACGAGGAGGCACTCAGGTCGATGCAGGAGTTCACGAGGTTGGTGGAACGCGCCTCCCGTCTGGTTGCCGACGTGGCTGATCGGGCGCATGTGTTGGACGGTCGTCTGGGCGAGAGCAAGCCCTCCAGGCAGACGAGGAGTGGCTCAGGCTTCCTCAGAAGACCATCGACAAACTCGGATCATACACCGTTGAGCCACCATAGGAACAGCAGCGCTAGCCACCATCATCATCATCATCACTATCACAGCAACGGGCATCAGCCGTCCTCCGGACACTCCGGGTACCGGGATGAGAACAGGGTACCGCCGTCATCAGCCTGTACGGAAGAGTACGACGAAATCGATCAAATATACGACTACGTGCGCGGCTTTAAGAGCGTCAGGTCGCCCTACGAGAGTCCTCTCGTCGCAGTCCAGGGGGGTTCGACTCCACCGTTGACGCCGGTGACTGTGACGATTACGCCTTTATTGGACGATCGACCGGAACCACCACCGATCGAGACGATACCGACGAAGAAGATTCAGGCGGAGAAGCGGACTAGGCGTGCGGTCAAGGAAGCGCCGCAGCCGCGGGGGGAGAAGCCGCCGCTGGCGAAGCTCTACGTGAAGAACAGCGGTACTCAGCGCGGGCGACCGCTGATGAGGCAGAAGAGCGCATCGCCCTTGAAGGAAACGCCGCCGGGTTACAAGGGTGGTTCGCCGCTCTTCAACATACGTTACAAGAGTCTAACGAATCTCCAACAGGCCATGGAGCTCGACGGCACGCTGGATTCCAGTCACTCGGGCGGAAGGACGTCGGGAGATTCCGGCGCGGGTGCCAAGCTGCCAGAGAAGAGGTATGCTTTTATTGATGCTAAGAAATAGTAAAAACATATATGTATATATATATATATACACATAATATATGTTCAATAATATATGCTCTATTTATATAAATTTTAAAAGGCAATTTTTAATAGACAAAGATTTTTATTTTTGTAATTATTAGACACACCTTTTATTCTTTTATTAAGTAAATAGCATAAATGAATGAATAGTTTACTTTTTTCTTGGAGTTATTATATTGTACTTTTACTATAATTCCACTCTCTAAAAGTGAATCAGTGTATTATCACTGACTTCACTTATAACTGATGTAATCAGTAATAATACACTAATTCACTTTTAGAGAACAAGTTGTTACGGCATTATTTAAAAAGTTGAATGAAGTTACGGTTATTATCTATTTCTTTAATTTATATTTGACTTTGCTATGCATATTCTCTAAAATTTTTGAAATCTTACTCTAAAGAGTGAAACCTGAGCCCAGTAAAATATCCCGTTAATAGTTTTACCTGCTTGAAAAAGGGTAGCTTGATTTTCAATCTTTAAGAATAAGATTTCGCTTTTCAGAATGTGTAATAATTCACTCTAAAAGTTTTAGAGAGTATCAAAGCAATTTCAATTTATATTATTTTCAGTTATATTAGTCAAAATAGGATAATATTCCAATAATATTTACAATAAGTTTTTATTATATTTTCTCAATATTATATGAAATCCAGATCGAGACGTTTAAGCAGGCCACGATCGCTGACGAATTTAGTCTGGGAGCTACGAGGTGGAAGCGGCCTCGGCTGCATCTCCGCCGCCCGCCACGACTGCACCGCTGCCACCGACTAAATGTGGGCCTCGTCTGGCTGTCACTGTCGTGGCACCGCGACGTGTCGGCACGCTCTACCTCTAACTCGTAAGTGGCAATTTTTTTCAAAGCCTTTTTATACACATTATTAATTTTTCAAATAATAAATTTCGCGAGGAAATTTATTATCGTAATTGCGAACTTTTTTATAAGATATGTACGTAAGAGAGAAAAACGAATTTACAAAATCGAAATTGTGAGTATGCTTTTGTGAAAAAATACATTGCACGACTAATTGTAAGATCAATTTCCGCTTTTGAGAAAAATTGTAACCAGTTCTGCTCTTGAATTGAAACATTGCGTGCACGGTTGTTTTCTGTACGTCCTTTGCGCACAATCTTCGTTTCCCGTATTTCAGTCAGATGATATGCCGTCGAGCGAGCGGTAAGACTATTTGTTGAACGGACATGCACGTCGCAATTAGCTATATTGAGGGAACACCGGTTACGACGTAGTTATAACGTACTTTGTCCGGGAAGGAGGGCTGAATCGTTAAATTCGTGGGATCGACCCAGGATAGATCTTTTAACGGGGTATTTTACTGGGCGTTATAAAAGACACACAGTTTTCCGCTTCCCTATTGCCATAAGACCTCATTCATTTAATCGTTCCCCCTCTCCGTCTCCGACATCCGATCATAACGATGTCTAGAAAATGCACCTGTCCACATGGGCGATGCAGGAAGTTCCGCGATTACTGCCAATTATCCATGAAGAAATCCATTCTTAGACGTAATCGATTTGAATGCGATTGGAATACGAAGAGGCTCGCAAACGTTCGAATCGGAGTACTCATTATGATTAATAACGTCATAATTGTTTCTTTCGCTTATGCTTCGTTAAAATAGTGTCGGATTATTAATCAATATAAAAATCATATTTATTAAATTAGTATCTATATATCTTATCGCGCGCTCAAAGGTTTCAGCACGTGTTACGTTTTTGCTAACTTCATTTTTTTATATGTAAAATATGGAATTATGATGTGATGTACTCTTGTATTTTTGGTCACGTAAATGTGTAATAAAGTCGCGAATTGTCGAAAAATAAAATGGAAACTATAAGTTTTTTAAATTGACAAATATCATGTAATCGATTGAAATTTAAATTTTGCACTAGACACTAAACATTTGGATATTATGATAATAATCAATGTTCTAACAATAAGAGAAAGGTATATAAACAATATTCTTGTAAAAATTAAATAAAAGTCTTTGATTAAGACATTTGAAAAATTTATCAAAAGAATGCCAAGAGTTTTGCTTTTGTTATTAAAATCTAAGGAGGTCAGGTTTCGAGTTTCAGTTTTAATAAAAATATGTAGTAATAAATTAAATAAACCTAACATATGCAAATTGTATTCATACTTTATTCTTTATATTACGAAATTTCCATAAATGTATAGTGTGTTGAAACTTTTGAGCGGTAGTGTATACCTATCAGGATTCAGCTAAAAAATTAATACGTGATCTTTTTGTCTATTTTGAATAATTTTCTAATTCTAATTCTAAACTTCATTTATGGCTGAAAGTAATGCTAGCAAAGTTTTAACATGTAAATTGTCCATTCGACGGTGCGTTATAACAGATTCTTATGTCGTAAACGGGTATCGTCAAGCCGGTTAATATACGGTACCGACAGTATTGCACACGAGCGAAGAGCGAGACGCAGCGAGAAGATAATATCCACGGACAGTCGACTCGCTCGTTTCTCCGTCCGTTAATCCGCCGATGAGAATCGACAGCGACAGCGAGAGATTGAAAACGTTTCCTCATCACGGGGCCCGGTTTTACACGTATGCCGGGCGACGACGAGACGTTTACGGGAGGAAGTCGGGAATCACAAAGCTTCCTGCCGTATACATCCGCAATCCAGCGCAGGTACCGGTTGGTATTCCCAAGCTGTGGAAATTAGCGAGGTCCGCACGGGTTAATCTGTTGTAGCCTAACTTCTCTCTCTCTCTCTCTCTCTCTCTCTCGCTCGCGAGTGTCGTTTAGTAGCGACTGGGTGCTTCGCCTCGCGAGAAGACGACTCGGTTGGAAGCCGCAAAGAGAGACAGGAGAGAAAGAGGAGATAGTTCAGTGGTGGACAGCCTCCGGGTATATAACGTCATCCTCGCTCGGTGCAGCGCTATAATAGCCCCGGTTCGTTGCGGAGCCACTCCGTGAGCGGAATTAAACGAGACCAGGTTCAACGGCTGGACAAACCGTGGCTTCCGGTCCCACCGCTCATCCTCCATCGCCCACCTACTTGATCGCGTATTATGAAAATTATGATTGTGCGAATCGCGCGATTTTATCGATTGCCATAGAAAGTGAGGCGGCTTCCGATAACGCAATCGACGACACTCAAGCGTCCGGCATAGCTGATCGCTCATAATCTAACGACGATCTCACGTGGCTCGCAGGTGGATCATCAATATTAAATCTTTTTTGTAATTATTTGAAACGCCTCATATCTCAATATTTTTACATTTCGGTATCTTATAGTAAGTTTTAAGTAAAAATTCTGATGTAAAGTACTCAGGTCCGGTTTTATCGGCGCGCGTCTACGTTAACTGCCTCTTTCCACCTCATAACTGTGACTGTAACTTAAGCAGGGAAGAAAGATTTAGTTATCCATGATTAGCACCAGATGCGAAAGTCAAACGAAACTGGACGGCGAAACCGGACTGAGGAATGAAAAGAAAGTCATATCATCGTGGGAACTGTGCGACAGTTCCGCAACGGTAGCGTTGGAGTGTTCAGTTTTTCAAGTCATTTGTGTTACATCTCTAAAGCGACGTCTATATATAACGAGATTTTAAGGCGTGAATCTTTAAGTCGTAAAAAAATTGATCAATCACAATCGAATGTGAAAAGAATAATCGACTACTGGTCAATGTTTTACAGCTTAGGGCTTAAAGCTTAAGTTTTACGCTTTAAAAGTCTCATTGTAGACGCCGTTTTATGGAAAATTGAAAAAAACAAAATTCAGATCTCTCGCGAAGCAAGTTTGCGGTTATCGTGATAATATTAGTTTCGGCACCGCTTTTTCGCGACACGACGAGACGCGACGCCTCGTCTCGACCGCTGTTACATTCTAAATTACTTGACCGCGTCGACTTGCGGCTACCCGCAATACCGTCGTCGCGCCATTTTCACGTATATTTTAATGTCCGGCTATGCTAAACGTCGCGCTGCGAAATTGCCAGGTGTCTCTTCGAAAAACAAGAATACCTGTCGCTCGGCCGCTAATTAATTAACGCGAATCGAAAACACGCTGTTCTCTCCCTCTGCCTGTTTACTCTCTTCTTCCACAACAGTGATCCCCCGTGGTTCAAGATAAGCGGCACACATTTACGGTTACCTACGTTAAATTGCGTCGCGGGAAGGAGGAGTCGTCGCCGATAATTAGAAAGTAATCGCACTCGTGGCTTTTCGCGTGCTCGCTTATCCAGACGGTCCCGGCAGAGAGACTATTATCTCGTAAATTGCCGGGTATGTTACACCATCCCGTGCCCCTGAGCCTCGCCTGTGCCCTCGCGACGACGTTGATTAATATCGACAAATTCCTCCACGCATTCGTATGATTATGCCCGTGGCGATATTCCACGGCTATGTTAGTTAACGCTCGTGACGTTACCTCCTGACGTGCGATGACGCGCCGAACATAATATTTACGGCGGAATAAAGATTGCGCGGCGTCGTGCTTATCAAAGGCGCGGCGTTTGATAATATTAAATATTTAATGCCGATCTAATATTCATCCGGTACTTCGCGTTTCTCGCTCCTTGGCCTGAGCTTCTGGCACTCGTGCGCGAGTACACTGCAACGAGCCGCGCTATGATCATCTTCGAAATTGCTAGGCGTCCCTACTTCGTGCCGAGACGTAGGCCGAGTGTGCTCGCTTGTTAGGATGCTTCGAGAAGCACGATCGCCTCGATCCTGCTTTCAACAAAGACGTCGCGATACGGGTTTCGATGTTTATGCACTAGTCACAGTAGGCATAACCGACATCTATCGCAGTGAATAAACACAACTGCGACACTTAGAAACGCAGAGAAAAAAGAAATTATATTATTTTAATTAATGTATACCGAAAAGGACAGTTTTGTTGAAATATCTGAAAATTTAACTAGATACAGATCTGAAAATAAGTTTGTTACCAACCATCAAAGTAATTACGTAGGACGCTCAAATTGATTGTTAGAATGTTAAAACTTTTCGCAGAGTACTGCTCATCAGACTTGACTTCCTACGTAATTATTTTGATGATCCAACAAAACTATTTTCAGATCTAACTAAATTTTTAGATACTTCAGCAAAATCGTTTCCGTATAAAGATTTTTATAAAAGAACTCTTAAAATCTTCTTCTATATCATAGATCATGTTTTTTTTATATTTTAGAATTAACTGTATCTAATAAACTGGTTTAAGCTGGTGATTCAGATTTAAAACAAGAAACATTTCTGAACATTAATTGAAAATATGAGACATTTTCAATATTTATACAGGTGCAGTGAAAATTTAATATCCTTATAATTATTAACAAATAGGAAGTAGGCCATTTTGGATATAGATACCTCACATAATTCTTTTATATTTTAGATTTCGCATATTCGATACAAAAGAACAGTGTGCTTAGCGTGCTCGCTGCATTTGCGAAGTTTTCATCCTCTTCTAACCAAAACCATGCATATTTATCGTATCCCCGGTTACATTGCATGCAAATTACAGACGACGTTCGGCTTCGCGGCCCGACTCTTCGTTATTCCGTTCCATTGTCTGCCTACATCCTCTCTTCCCGGATAAATGCCGACCCGACGTGGTTCACGTGCGTCGCGCTTGTAGGCCCGTCCTGAGTCATCCGACGAATTTTTTCACCCATTTACCGTCTAAAACCATCTACGCATACTCAAGATGGTCGCGCGTTGAGAAGACACAAGACGGGACAACGGCAGAATAAAGGAGAGCTCGAAAAAGAATATTGGAAGAAGGCTGCATCGTCAGCCGCTTCATCTTGAAAGCTCTCACCTGAAACTCAACGCCCACGTGAGATGCATG